TAGAATAGAATAGAATAGAATAGAATAGAATAGAATAGAATAGAATAGAATAGAATAGAATAGAATAGAAATCATGAAAATAAATAAAGTGGCTTCCCGTTTTCCTCTTAGCAGTTATACCTACAATTCTAATCAAACCTCTCTCTCTAAGATGACATCATAATTCCCTTCTTTCTATAATCATCTCTCTAATCCTCAAATTATTCTCTCTCACAGAGAGAGTCACCCAATCATTTTCTTTTTTACACAAAAAGGCCATAAGGGGTTTCTGGTCATTGATGAATGTCAATAATGACCTTTCTCTAATTAATGAAAGAAGACTTTTTGGCCATCCCAGCTAGTTCACAGATCCTTGTGTGCAACATGCGAGCCCCACCCTACCAGGTGGTGCTTGGTGGGAAATGCCAGGCAGGGTTTTCTGCCAGTCACGGTTGTCTTTCTTTTGTAAAATGGGCGCCATTTTAGAGGGGAAAGTTGTGGACCAAGGAAGAGGGAAGGGTCGAGCAGAGGCAATGGAGGGTGGGTTGGGTGTCCATCTTGGTCAAATAAAACCCTGGCCTTTTCTATTTTCCTGCCCTTCTCTTTTGCTTCTAGGAAACAGTTACCTTCTGGAGACAAACTCTTTGTGGCGCAGACTTTTGCAACATTACAAGGAGCGTGGATGCTACACCAGGGCCAGCGCCATTAAGGTTAAGCAGAAGTCCAGTATATGCCTGTAAGAAGGAACCACAGCAAACAGATTCTTTCTTTTTAATCTCCTGGTGATGGATCTCAAGGCCGATTCCAGGAGACAGGATTCGCCAACGCTGAGCCAGAACCAGGAGCCTCGTGGCGAATCGGACACCGCCAGAAGACATGAGCTTTTCAGGACTTGAGCTTTGAGAACAGACTCTGCCTTCTTCTGGAACCCAAAAAGCCATATTTTTAATACGGGAGCCTAACGTTTTAGGCATGGAAAATATTTTGGAAAAGGGATTTTGCGTTTGTTGGGGAATCAAACGGATGCTGCAGGAAAACGAAATGGCTGGTCCACATTTGAGGAGTGTTTGCTAAGCTGGTCGGAGGAAGACTGCCACCGGCATAGCAGGGGTCCTGCTGCACTTTTCAAAACCAGAAGATCTTTTGGAGGAAGACAGAACCCCAGTCTTCCTTCCCCTACCATGCCAATAAACACACCCTCGTCCAGATGATAAGCTGACTTATGCAACTGACTCCCTTCGACCTCTGTCCCAGAACCCTTTTGTACAAATATTATTATTATTTTTTTAGCCTTGTTAAATTTTACTTGAAATGATTTTTTGCTAGTTTTTTTTTAAAATCTTTTTTTTTTAAACAGAACCACAGAACTGGGGGTGCCTTCCAAGTTTGTGCTCCTTGATCTAGCCACCCTTTGGAACGTGCTGTGAAAAGTTTAAGGAAAAGAAGGCTGAGCCCGCGGAGAACGGCAAAGGGGGTCCTTAGGGAAAGGTAATGGCGTTGTGTGCTGGGTTTTTCTCTGTGGAGGACCAGCCCTGCCATTTAGCCAAAGCGAGACCATCACCTCTGCTGGCGGACGATTGAAGGGTCAGCAGAGCTAAGGGTGGTGGGGTCTGTTTTATGCTGGGATTCCAGCTACGTCAGCCTTGGTGCCTGAAATGGAAAGGTCAGCTACAAGCTATCTTAGGCTAACCCAGTTCTGTGAGCGTTGGTGGCAATTAACCCCGCCTAGAAAGCTGCTAGAAGCTTCTCTATCATAGTGCCTCCTGAAGCTCAGTGAACGGTGGATATGTTCACACAAGCTGCTTAGCTGAGTCGGTTGCAAAGTGAGGATTTGCACAACAGGGCAAGCTTTCTTTTTTTAGCTTTAACCTTAATGCTGCAGTGGAAGCGTGGTTTATTGCAAGGGTCGATGGTTTGGGGCCCTCCAAACGTTTGGACCTCAACGGCACCCAACCCATGTTGGCTAGGGGCTGTGAGTTCTAGAGAAGTCACGAGGACATCATGTGCATCACGTCATTGTCGTGTAAATGGCACACCGGCTGCCCTTCTTTCTACCCACACGCATGGCTGTAGCCCAAAACATCTGGAGGATGCCATGATTCTTCTCTCTGGCCAATATGCATTGCACTTTTTTACCCGGATTGAATGTATTGTAACAGAGTGGGTGGAAAAGAGAGAGCTCCCACCCCACCCCGTCTCCTGTCTCAGAATCTTTCAAATGCCTGTTTGAAACTAGACGCAACCTTAGATTTAGCTGCTAATGACAAAGCAGGTCCGCCGAATCTGGTTATTCCAGCCTACGGTGATCCCAGATGAATGCATTGCCCTTGGGGTTTGGTTGTACCCAGCACTAGCTCTAATATAGATATAATAATACGATATATAATAACAGCTGGGCTTCTTCCATGATACTAACAATGTGTGAATGTGTGCATGACGATTCCTGTATTATCCTTCTGCGGTTCTGCAACTGATGCCGTCCCTTTTTCCCGGTCTTGCAAATTGGTGCATCTGATTTATTGCAATACGTGGAATTACGGGGAGGGGAAACACCTTAGGCTTCTGCATAGAGCCTGTCTAATTTTGGACAAGGTTGTAGGCGAGAAACTTAGGAGAGTAGCTTTCCCCACCCCTCCTTTTGGCCTTAACGTCAGGGATCTTGATAGCAACGAGGGGAGAATGAGACAGGCCTCTTTCTCCCTTCTTCTACCTCAGTGCTATGAAATGTGAATGCTTGAAAGTTTGTGCCCGCTCCCTGTGCTGATCCATTGAATTTGGAATACCAAATTAATGAACCCATGCTCATCGTAGTCCCTTCCTAAAGAAAGCACAGGCTAGCCCAAAGACATAACAATATTCCATGCTGGCACCCTCTTCCGGTACGTGACATTTCCAAATTATTAAGCCAGACTTCAGAGTAAACATTCCTATCTTCTTTTTGCTAAACGTCTTGTGTGGGCCTACTGTCTGAGCGTTAGTCATCTAAAAAGAAAGAAGGAAGGGGAGAAAGGGGAAAAGAATCACTTCTAAACAGATCCTGTAATCCCCATGACTGTTCCCCTGTAGATGGCCCTCGCTCATCCCAGGTGATTAAGTGATTTTCTTCATTTTTAATTCTTTGCACCTTCTCCATTCTTTCGGTTTTTGTACCCTGGGTACCAACATCACCTCTACTCCATCTTTCTGCTTCTGGTTCCCTTCCTATCTTCTGCAGGGTCACTCAGACTTGGTGGTGGCCTGTTTATTTGCATTTTTCTCTGACCAAAGTGATGACACTGGTTGGTGGCTTTATCCTGCTGGCGCTGGATAATTTCTGTCACAGACGCAGTGAAGTAGAGTTGCCCTTGGAATGGGCGTGCTTGAACCCTTCCATGTAAATCACTGGGAGCCTCTGCCAGGACTTGGTCCTTGAAAAGCATCTTGGGCACCGCCCAAATATCTGCCCTGCCTCTCTGCTGGCCACCGCTGGTGGGCTATTCCCATGACTCTCTGTGCTGGTGGCGTTTGGCCTGCTGTCTCCTTGGACCAGGGTCTGGGAGACTGGCAGAGTTAAAAGAGGCATCTCTCTTCCAGATGGCAGAATCTTAGAGCAGAACTGTCTTTGAACTGGACCCCTGGCATGGGCCACTCCTCCCTCTTTTTGCCATTAGGTGCAATACACATGAAAAATGGGCAGAGCTTCAGCTGCACTGTGGCGAGCATCCTCTTGACTTTTTTGACCACTCTGGACTGAGTGCTTCCCTGTTCTCTTCCAGGACCAGAATTTTCAGCCTCTCAAGCAGTGGGGTTTCTGTCTGCGTTGCCGTCCCCCCAGTTCTAGCCCTTGCCACCATCTGCACCTTTCAGGGTTCTGCATCTCACTGGCTGGCATTTGTGCCCTCAGCCGACAGCTGTTGGACCTCAGCAGCCTTTTCCCCTGGGGCTGTCGCTCAGAGTCCTCCTCTGCAGGGTTGATGTTCTGTGGCACAGCCCTCCTTCCTGAACGCTCCCTTGCCTGTCATCACACAAATGCCCTGATTATGCGCTTGCATCAGGAAGTCATCACAAACATGTCTTCGTTCCCTCCCCCACGCTGTCCCTAAGGATCCTTCATGAGTTAGTGATAAAGAAAAAAAAATGGACATAGATCTGGTTTTAGAGGCCCTCCTTTCTCTCCTCCAGGCGAGTAAGAAAGTTTTTGACTTTAAAGCAAGGAACGTGTGGTTCAAGAAAAAGACAGACAAAAATAAGCCCTCTCAGCAAACTGTTCTGGCTTGTGCTTAATGTCCAGATACCCAGTTCCCACTGCAAACGTCCTGCTCCTCTTGGGCTGTATAGTTTGATTGGCCCAGATACCTCCAGAGCAAAGATGGCAGATCAGAGCAATTGAATCTGAATTGGGCGTGATCGACCAATTAGATTTTGCCTTTCAAACCATTCAGGGTTCCATCCCTTGGAATGGGGTTATTCCTATTCACTACAACCCAGTATAGGTTGTCCTTATTTAACGACTGCCTTGTACAGCGACCGTTCACAGTTATGACATTGATGAAAAAGTCACTTTGCGACCCATCTTCGTATTTATGACTTTTGCGGGTCTGTAAAGCAAAGGAAAGCTGACGTAACATCAGCGCAGTCACGGTTTCACTTAGCGACCGCTTTGCTTAACGACTGAGTTGCTGGTCCTCATTGTGGTCGCTAAACGAGAACTCCCTGTAGCATTAATATAATGCCAGAGTGCCTGGCAAAGTTTACTGTTCCAAGGTTTTACAACCTGGCAAATTTGAGATATCTCTAGTTGGCAGCCACTGGGCTTTACTGTTGCACATGTGCCACTGAATTTAATGGGGAGTGTGCAAGGCAGACACTCATGGAATTGTACAGCTCCTACACATTGAAAAGGGTGTTGTAAATTCCACTGTAAATGACCAAAGTTAGGGTATATAAATTGGATGTTGAAAAGTCCAGGGATCAGGATTTCTACTGATAGCTTGGCTATCATGACCATATTTCTTTGAAGAAAACATTCAGCACGTAGTACTTGGAGTACCAAGTATACCTGTTATCAGGGGTATTTGTGTGGGGGGGTGTGGGTCAAAAAAGTCAAGATGGTGCCTCCAACCCTGCAAAGCCCGGCCCCTTTTTTACATGACTTGGAACTGACATCTTGACTTTTTTGATTCTCCCCTTGCTGATTTTTGTTATTTTGCTGATACTTCTCCTTAAAACAAGAAATATACAATAGAGATACTTTTTAAACTATTTTAGGATGATTGTGAGGATTTTAAATCCCTGGGAATCTCTGGTTAAGTGCCATTGAAAAGAACTGGATCTCCCTTTTGCTGTGATCTGTTGGTAGTTTCCTGCTGGATTTGTCCTAAAACACTGTTTGAAATGAACTGAAACATTTCCAGGCTGTGTGCGTCTTTTTGTATATTTAAAGAAAGATAAAAAGCTATCTTTAGTTAGTGAGTTCTATGGTATTTGTTTACTGGAGTCTATTTTTATGATGTATTGTAATTTTTTTAAATCATTGGATTTGCATGTAAATTGCCTTCTCTGGAAATTTTTGGAGAGATTTGATATCTCTAAATTATGGCTTTGTAGTCCTCTGAATTATTTTTTTAATTATAAGGGTCTAAAAATATGTGATGTTTATACAAACATGAACATTCCTCTTTAATCAAGTATCGTGAAGCTGATTGTACTGTACCAAATAAAACTTTATGACTCTGAATTCTGATTGCATTAAGTAGGAGAGAGAGAGTGCATATGTATGTGAGGAGAGTGAAGATCCCTGCAAGGAGAAAGGTAGCACATTAAGGAGTAGGTTTTGTGTGCAGCTCACGGTAAACCTAGATAACATATTAAAAAGCAGAGACGTCACCTTGCCGACAAAGATCCGCATAGTCAAAGCTATGGTTTTTCCAGTAGTAATGTATGGCTGTGAGAGATGGACCAT